TTTCCTCATCTTCACCCCCACCATCTTCTCAGGGTACACATTGACCTGATAGACTTCTCATCTTCTAAATTTGTTCACTTTTGAAAAGGTTTTTAAAGCTTCTAAGAAATGCCCATAACATGAATGATACGGCAAGTTGTTGCCAGAATAAATTTTATTCCAACATATTTTGTGATCTTGTCCACCTTTCCCGAGAGACCAAATCATGCTTCACTGGTGCATCATTTTCACTGGACTAGAGGCCTATCATGTGCCTTGAAAAAACACTTCAGCATATTTTAATTATAAACAAAACTCTTAGTTTTGAAATTTTAAAGATCCATAATGTGGTATCTCCACCTAAAAGTTAAGTCAGTTGTTCTCCCTGTCCTGAAAAGTGTCCCTAGGAAACTAAGAACCGTTTAGGATTGTCTGAGAGGTTTCTCTCGTGATATGAAGCAGTCTTAAAGAAACTCATTAGAATATTTTAGAAAATTTTTTGCTCAGCCAGAAAAAATACTCAAGAGACCTATCACTTGGTCGTCTGAGCATTCTACTGCCACCTAGTGTCTATAATTTTCAGACACTAAAAGGATTGAATATACTCAAGGTTAAAACGTTGAGCAATAACCGTGGTCAGTATACTTTGACCCTAATTTTTGGTCCCTTTTGCAAAAGCTTTTAAGTTGTGAGAAATCATTCATCATAAGCAGTTTCCTGTAAGGGACAACCCTCTTGGAAACATCATCTGGTTTTGTGTGTGAGACCTTTGGTCTCCCACCTTGCAAGTACTTAGGAAAATGGGCTTACAAAAGTTGCAGTGACCCCAATCTTCATTGGAAAAAATGGGAGTCCTTTGAAATTTCTAAATGGCATGTTCATATGCGAAATTAGGAAAAGCTGGTTATAAAATCAGGCAAATTGTATGGGAAAGTTACTTTCAATGATATGTGAAAGCTACCTCAGATACAGTAGAGCCACCTTTTTTTCAGGAGGTAAATAAAAAGTTACCAGAATCCGTTTTTGTATTAAAACTTCAGAGAGTTGTTCTACTCCAACCACTCTTCCACTACCTCTCTTGCACCTCTACATGCTCTTTTGTATAATCTTCCACATCCTAAACTCTGTTCTTTAACCTCCATCTCCACCCCCACAGAAGATAATACAACAGACTCCAGTTGTAACCAGTTGTA